GGTGGGGCGGACTCCAAGCCGCGGATCTTGCTGATGGGGTTGCGGCGCAGTGGGAAGTCCTCCATCCAGAAGGTGAGGGGCAGCTGGCGGCCCCCGCCCCCGCCTGCCGCGCTGCTTCGCCGGCGCCCAGCTCTTTTTCCTTGCTGTGTTGCTTTTTAGGCAATTTGTGCTTTTTTAAGTGGGCGCATATAGCGAAGAGGGAGGGGAAGGAGGCTCCTACTTGAAGACGCTTACTTTCCAGAACGGACTCCGATCGCACTTCCTAGAGAGGAAGGTTGTGTAGCATAGGTTGTCGCCTTTGTCGTTCGTCACTTTAACACTTCAAAAATAAGAAGTGAAGATACTGGTGTGAAACTTACAGTGAGGCGTTTTCTTATGGATGTGAAAACCTTGAGAGTGGTACAAGTGTGTGGTGGTTAGCTAGTGCTTCTGGTCAGAAGATGACCTGTTCTGCCTTTTGAGCCTTTGAAAGAGACTTCTGCTTTTGTACGAGCAGAAGGCAGCCTCTGGTTTCCTTTAGTGCGCTAGACTGAGCAAACTACAGAGTCACTGGTGGAGGAGGAAATAAAACAGCTTTGGTGCCTCTAGGCCTGTTAGTAGCTTTGTTGAAGTCACTGGTGTTTCTTAATAAAAATAAGAAAACTATTTTCACTTGCCACGTAGCTCAAGAGAAGTGTAACGCCAACATGATCCTTGTTCCTCAGTGCAAGTTTTATATTTGCAGTCCCTGTTATGAAATCTTACGTTATATTTTAATAAGAAGGCATTACTAGGAAAATGTGGTGGTTCTCAAGCTCTAGGCTTAGCAGCCTCAAACTTTCTTCAAATGCAAGTGTGGAATCCTTCAGAGATTTCTGTTAAGGTTTTATGTGGAGCAGTCTTTTTTTGGACATGGCAGTGTATCAGATAGGAATTAGCTTTTTTTTTACCTGTCTTATGTAGACTACTTGGTTATCTATAGGCTGTACTAGACCAGTGAGTTCTAAACTGTAGTCTGAAGACTCCTATCCTTTGCTCGCATTTCTTTAGACAAAGTATGCAAAAGATGCAATATCTGTTAGTGAGAATTTTTTCTATTGGGCTGTCATTGTTTTTCAGCCTTTCCAGTTATTCCCCATTATTTAGGCATAATGCCCCCACTGTATGTGCAAATGCAGTGATTGCAGTGAAAGTCTTCTGCAGAGTCTTTAGTGGTGTGAAAGGCACCCTTTGTAGACTCTCACTAGAGATCTTACTGTGTTGTCACTGCTGGAAAAAGTGAACCCTAAAAGCTGGAGGAAAGCAGTAACTCCAGATTGCAGCTAGATTTTTAAGACATTACAAGTAACTTTATAGATGTAGCTTTTGGACTTTTTTTTTTATGATCAAGGTTGGTAGCATCAGTTCTCTTAGGACCCATTCAAGTAGTTGTACAGGAAAGGAACAATGTGGCATTAAGAATAAAATTGATAATAAAAGGACATAGAATTTATCGTTTGCTGGTCGGTTGCCGATCTGGCTTGGGAATTAGAAGCTGTGGTTCTGTTATGTAGGAGCTGTTGCTGCCTGAGCCAACTAACTGTGACAATAATTTGAGACATTCTTAAGAGCATCAAGCAGTTCCAAGAAGTTTCTCTTCAACAGCATCGCTGCTTTTAGTTCTGCTTAGTTCAAAAATGGTCATAACTAGACCTGACTCTTCTGTCTGGGCACGAGTTGTTGATCACCTTGCCAGAGAGTGCATCGTGAAAAGTACTGGCTTTGTGGGAATCTAGAAATCTGTGTGAAAAACATGAATTATTAAACTATTCCAGCCTTCTACTGAGAACAATGTTAACAGGAGTCCTCTCACAAAAGGAAAAGACAGTGGTGCTGGGGAGGAACTCTTGGTTTTTTCGTGTGGTTTTTGCCCCCTTCACTCCCGTCCCTCTCCCCCCTTTGGACAGTTGGATATTCCATACTAGTCCAGACTTACGACCAGTGTAACTAGACTTAGTCTACTGTACTTATGTAATAAGAACCTGGAAAGAGTTCAGAGTACCAGATTTTGGGGTTTTTGGTCGTATGATGGTGATTTCTGTTGTTGTTTGTTTGGATTTTTTTTTTTTTGCCATAGTCACCAGATCAGAAAGGTGCCTATAAGAAATCTGAGGAAGAGCTGTTCACTGGGGCATGTCGCAATAGGACGAGGGGTAATGGTTTTAAACTAGAAAAGTGTAGATTTGGGTTGGATGTTAGGAAAAAGTTCTTCACCATGAGGGTGGTAGATCAGTGGAACAGATAGTCTAGGGAGGTGATGCGGGCCCCATCCCTGGAGATATTCAAGGCCAGGCTTGATGGGGCTCTGGGCAACCTGAACTGCTACCAATGTCCCTGCTGACTGCAGCCGTTGGACTGGATGAGCTTTAAAGGTCCCTTCCAACCCAACACATTCTGTGATTCTTTGATGATTCTATGACTCCAGGCTCTGCCTTCATAGGATTAGCATAAATAACATGAATAATGGGGGAGGAATCTATCTGTGTAGTAGAACCTAAAGCAGCTGCAGTAAACCTTTCATTTATACCCATTTTTCTTTAAAGCTGTTAAATAAATGTATTGAATTTTGGGACTTAGGGAGTCAGAATCAGCTGTCTCTTGTGCTTCTATAGCAAGCTCTAATACTTAGAAAATCTTACAGCAAGATGTAATGTAGTGCTCCTAATAACTGGTGAATTTTTAAAAAATCTTGGTCTGTCTTGTCTTCCTTTTGCTGTATTTACCCTCTTCCTTTGTCATCCCACACCCCCCAAATCCTTCCTCTGGAAAAGGAAGACAGCTGCTACCTCTGAGACCATCTCATTCATTATTGCATTTTAAGAAATCCACAAAACTGAAGCAAAGATTCTGGAAAGCATGAAAATGGCAAAATGGTCGTATGTCTTACTGCTGTTTGGGAATCCTTTGGAAGTCACTTTTCGTTGTTACCTGTGAGGCAGCTGTTCACTTCCATTTAGTAGATTGTCAACACAGTCTTGCAATACCGTACCTTTTCTCTCTCTTTTCAGGGACCTCCTTCCATCTTCCTGTGCAAATTCCTTTCTGGACATGAGGGCAATAGAAATAGTCTAATATTACCTCAAGAAAAAAAAGGGTTTACTATGACTGGAGAGAAAATTAAAAAAAAGGAGTTTGAAAACCCATTCTGCATTTGGACTTATAGGTAAAGGTGCCTGTTTTTATGTGCAGAATGATACTGTGCTGTAGTGGGGAGACTGGTTGTTTATGAAGGGCCAGTTGCCTGCTTTGGCTCTACAGACTTCATTGAGGCATGCTTCGTGGTGGCCTGGGACAGCTCCCAACGAAGGGCTCTTCCCTCTGGGTTACTTGCACTGCGGAGATTCATAGAAGAGTTCTGACTCTGGTTGTTGTTTTCCTTCTGAAGAAAAGGATGTTGATTTTCAGATTTAAACCAGTCATTCATGTTTGCAAATGAGGTCTAAAAATAAAACAACCCAACCAACCACCAAACAAAACAAGCTATCCTAGATGTGTTACTTTCTCAGCACCTTGCAATTCCTGCCGTAGATATTCTTCTTGCAAGTGTTGCTACAGTGTACCCGAAAACGTGTCTGGCAGTGGCAGGTCATATTTGTTCATAAGCTCTTGTAGTAGGGATGTTGTGGAAGTCATTGTCACTTGATGTATTACTGTTTGGTGGTCTGGGAAATCTTTCTTTGTATAGATCAGGCTAACATTTCAGCTGGAAGTCAAAGTCCAAATGTCGGTGTTCTCTGACTTGTAAAACAAGCAAACAGACATCAAAAACCAAAATCAAACGTGGTTCCCTGGGGAGTCCATTCGAAGTTTAAGGTAGTGGGAATGCACATGCTGGACAAAATCAGCTCACAGATCCAAGGAAGGGTAACTGCTTGAACATTGAGACAGAAATTGTGAGTTAAAAAAAAAAACCAAAACAAAACCAAAACAAACCCATAAAGAAGCAGTCCAAAAACACGGAGGCAGTTCAGAAATACTGCATCAAGAGTGCAGCTTACCTGCTGCAATTCAAAAATAAAACCAACTGCTGCTGCAGAGAAGTTACTGTAGACAAAAGGCTGATGTGTCAGGGAATAAAAGAAATCCTTAAAACTCGAGAGATTGTGGCAGGTCAGATGTCAGTGATAAATTCAGAGGGATAAAAAAAAATCTGCAAGAGTGTACTGCGAAGAGTGCTTAAGCTGACAGTGAAAAGTTCTTAAAATACAGTAACAGCGGGAAGTCTGCCAGGAAGTCAGTGAGACCGTTGGATGTTGAAGGTGTAAAAGCCACAGTCAGGAATGATAAAAGCTGCAGCAAGGAAACTCAGCAGATTTTTAGAACTTTACTAGCTTTGTCTGCTCTGCCTGTGTATGCCTAGTCAAAATTGCTTGGCTTAAGTGTTAGCTGCCTGCTTCCAACCAGATGCTTCCACAGCATCTGACTTTATTTGCTTTATCAAAGCTGTCTAAAGCAAGTAAGAGTGGGAGCGTATGCTAGGGGATAGAAGTCGAATCGGATCAAAACTGTGTCGCGGTTCCCCTATTAATGTAAAAAAAGATGGGGGACATCAGTTCAATGAAACGTGCTGCTTTGGGAAAGAGGGGAGAGGGGATGATGGCATTGCTTCTCAGAGACTCATGTGCTTTAAACTGGATTCACTGATTTGTCCTGCTCCCCGTGGGAGATGCCGAGCTCCAAAGAAGGAATGCTGATTTCAGAATGCTTTAAAACTGTGCTGCAAATGCTGAGGAATTTCTAGTCCTTGCAATACAGCCGCTGTGTGTCTCGAACTGTTCTTCTTCATATAAATGTAATGCTGTTTAAAACATCATTTAGATCTTGGCTTCCTCAAACATTTGTCATAAACTGATTTATTTTTTTTTTTTCCTTTTGCTTGGCCTTGAAAAGCTAGGCTGACTTACTACTTTGAACCTCACTAAACAATCTATTAACTGTGCTGGGTTTGCAGTTGTTGTCTTGCAGGTTTTTTGACAGCGATTGTTGTACTAGGCCTCTTTAATGGGTGACTTCTGTAACTGTGTGAAACACTTTAAAAAAATTACCAAGTGCTGTATAGAAAACATCTTTTTGCACTCCTAGTATTGGACCACCTTACATTTGTCGTAACTTCTGAAATATACAGTTGAGTTGCTTTAGCACTGTGTTCGCTGTCAAAGCTGACTGCTTTTTCTGACAGGCTGCTTTGCTGTGGGGTTATGTGCTAGTTCTGTTTGTTCAGGGAACGGCTTAAATCCCAGTGGGGCTTTCTGAGTGCGAGCAGTGAGGACATTTTTCATCACTGAAAAATTTTTTCATCTAAGCCGTTTACCAAATAGCGTGAAAGCTTTCATTGTTTCTTTAGGGTACTTGAAAGGAGAAGGTCAGCAAACATAATTCAGTTGTTAATAGACGGCAAACAACCCTAACTGTTCGGGTCTCTGAAATCTAGATGTTATTTTTTTACGCTTTTATTTATTTTAGGAGCAGTCTGATTATATTGTGTCATAACACTTTGACATCAGACTAGAAGCAAAGTTTCCTTTAGGAATTTCTAAGACTGGAAAGGAACGGTTCTTAAAAGTTTGCAGCTGGTTAATTAACATCGTGGCTTTATACCAGATCTGAATTTGCTAATATGGCAGGATTTGAAAGTACTTTGTTAGACTTACAAGGAAGAAAGAGTAACTGGGATATCTGTGTCTTTAGGGAGTAGTGTTACTTAGACTTATGAAAATGTTTAACCGTACTCGGTTGCCTGGTTCTGGCTGAGGGTAGACTGTTTCCCTTAGCTGATGCAGGAGGCTAACCTTTTACTGAAAGGAAAACTGTACATTTTAGAATGAACAAACCTATTTGTAAGATTCAAGTCACAGAACTCTTACCATCTTCTAATAAGATATAGTCGATAGTATTATTTGTGTTCTTTTAACAGGTGGTGTTTCACAAAATGTCTCCCAACGAGACTCTATTCTTGGAAAGTACCAACAAGATCTACAAAGATGATATTTCAAACAGTTCATTTGTGAATTTTCAAATATGGGATTTTCCTGGACAGATGGACTTTTTTGATCCAACATTTGATTATGAGATGATCTTCAGAGGAACAGGTGCTCTAATATATGTTATTGATGCCCAGGTAAATAAATTGCTAAGAATCTTTTTGCTTTATGTGTGAGAGGAATGATTGAGAAGATAATATTATATTTTTAGGTAAGTTTGTAAAGCATCTGCTATGTATGAAAGGATGCATTGGCAATCTAACTTTTAGTGTGTGGCTTTTAGTTTTGTGAAGTGACTGGAACATAGGCTCCTCGTGGAGAGAGTGGAAAGGGGCAAGTACTCTGAACTCACCTTTTCTTGAATAATAGTGAGAACCTGCTGTGCTAGATGGTCTGAATTATCCCTTTCCTCTGCTGTTGAATGCTATGGAGTTCATTTGATAGCAGCACACTTCTGACCTTAGTTTCGAGTACTGGTACTATTGGGTATCTTGTAGCTTCTAATGAATTTAGGAATTGCACCATGGGAGATCACCTGGTTCTTAGGACCAGGTATTGGAGATCGCTGCTGCCTTTTGCTGGAGTTGAATTGTAACCTGCCTTTTGCTCTGAAGCCTGGTTTTGTTTAGCTGACTCTTGTATAGCTAATGCAACTTAATTTACATAACAGAATCTAAGCTACTTGGATTCCTGACACTCCAGGATATTCTTTTCTCCCATACTTCTGTTTAGTTACAGAAGTGAAGCTCTTGCACTGAAATATTTTGTTCTTGTGCAGAATGGAATAGTTATCGGGGTACAGCATTGTCATTCACTCTTGCCAAAACTGACTTACAGGATGACTACATGGAAGCCTTAACAAGACTCCATATTACAGTTTCAAAAGCCTACAAGGTCAACCCAGAAATGAACTTTGAAGTTTTTATTCATAAAGTTGATGGTTTATCGGATGACCATAAAATAGAAACTCAGAGGGATATTCATCAGAGGGCTAATGATGACCTTACGGATGCAGGGCTTGAAAAACTTCACCTTAGGTGAGTTAAAGATTCTGGCATATGTGATTCTACTGTTGCTTGTGTGCATACAGACCAGCTTTCAGATGTAATAGTGGGCGGACCAGAGCAAGGCCTTCTTGGTTTCTTAATATTGCACAAACTCTTGTTATAAAATATACCACTGAATTCATGGCCTAGGCTCAGCTGTTAAGCTGACTAAAATAAGGCAGGCTATTGTATCCGATTCCAATCAACAGACTTACTCATAAACCAGCTGATAATTCAAAGACCTTTTGCATAATTTCCATTCAGTACAACAGGCTGAATTTGTGTATGTGGATTTTGGAGGGGCAGGGGCAGGAAAGGGGAAGCTGCCTGCCTTCTAGTGCTGGCTGTACCTGAATTTCAGCATGATTGGTTTGAAAAGCTTAGTCTCTTGATATTTGGCTCGCTTTTAAGGTGTGTTCTCCTGACACCTTTAAAATGAGCTATCTTTTCTCTGTTTTTACTGCTATTTTGATTCTCGTGGACCCTTTAAATATTGCCGATATCTCTCGGTGTTCGAGTGAACAAAGTGGAAGGCCAGGATGGGACTTGAAGAAATCTAAGTGAGCTTTTAACGCCTTTGTGATGAGATTCTGTAGGCTAAGTGTGCTGTGAAAGCCTGTTCAGATTTTTCTCTCTGTTCTCCCGTTTCCCAGGGACAGGAGAAATCTGTTTCATGTTTACTCCTCTTGCTGAGAACTTAGATTCTTGGTGCAGTGGCCAGGTATATTTGTGACAAAAGCATGCCAGCTAAATCGTTAGGCCTGAATGTTAGACAACAGAGCTTTAGGACTTCTGTTGCAATTCTGAAATACTCTTGAATCTTAGTTCCTTTTTCTTTTCCATCTCTCCTTAATCTCAGCTTTTATTTGACCAGTATCTATGACCATTCAATATTTGAAGCCTTCAGTAAAGTGGTACAGAAGCTCATTCCGCAACTGCCAACGCTGGAAAATCTACTAAATATCTTTATATCAGTAAGTGTTAATTTAACAGAACTTTTGAGTGAAATACGCAGAATGGTAAAGCAAGTCCTTCTGCTAAGGAACACTGGCTAGATCTGCCCTTGGGAGATTTGGGTGGCACTCATATTGTTGGTGTACTCTGTTGGCTCGGTTCTCTGCATTAGAAACTCTTCACCACAGCTAAATTGTACTGGTGTGTGCTTTGCGCTTGTTTCTCTAAATACTGACAAAGCATAGTTTGGCTGGTTATAACTGTTGATACAAAAGTTTTCTTGCCAGCATGATATACTGATTAGTCTGCTAAGGCACTTACTAGTCTAGCGTAGCTGTACTGACAAGAGACTTTTTTCATAACAGGAACGTGGCCCTGAACTAAACTGTCACTTTCATGTGGCCTGAGAGACTTCGGCACTTATTCTTCTAGTATTTGTGTTTCTCATATGATTTCTGACATAAAAATTTGCTGTTGTGTACTGTAAATCAAATAAAATGTCACCCTAGAGACACGGTTGGAGTGGCCTGTCTCATTTAAGTTACACCCCATGCTGTTGCAGGCATGTGGACAACATGAAAAAAAACCAGTTGTGATTGAGAGGAGCTCTGTGGGTCAGACATGTTGCCCCATGCTACTGTATAATGTTTGTTTCCTAGGTTGGTAGAAGACTGTAACAACCTGGCCCAGTGGATAAAAGGCATGTTAACGCTCACCTTGCTCACTGCCCTGAGGGTGTGGAGCCTGGCCCTGATGCCAAAAGGATAGTCTGGATGTCCTCAGGACACTGCCTTGGGTATTGAGACTAGCTAGGAAGAAGCGATAAGGAATGCTTCTGGTGCATAAATAGAAATTAAGTTTTGCTAGAAATCCATAGTGTATATGTAATAACTTGTTTAACAGCAGGCGGCTTCTGAACTTAGTGTGAGCACGTGCACTTCGCCTAAGTGGTCATTTACAAATGGGATGGTACAATTGGCTTGATGCTTTTCCGCACGCATAACTGCCATAACGCGATCCTCTTTGTGGAGTTGTAAGTTTAGAAGTTGACTTTTATTTGCTCTGCCCGTTAAAATTACATGGCAACTGCCTCATGCAGACACTGATACTACAAAGTAAGTTTAAGTGTCGGTATACTACTATGAAGTAACTCATCTCTGAGCCTGGTCCATCAGGTGGATGTGAATGTGTGGCTCTTCTGGCGTTAACAGAACCACAGAAGGAGATAATTGCTGAATTTGGGTTCTGGAAGCATAGTAATATGTAATCTTAATTATGATCTGGTAAATAACAAACAAAAAAGAATTCTAACTGAGTCCACAGCTTTATTTTTGTCAAGTAGAAGGTGATGTATTGATATGTATTATAGCAACAAGGGTATTGTATTTGTAAGCTATATGCTCTTAAATCTTGAATCTGTCCTAAGCCTCAAAATTGATTGTCTAAACCATTTCCTGCTATGAAGATCGTGAAAGGGTATGAATTCTACTTGAGATTTTTAAAATTCATCCAAATTCTTTCTTTTTCTGAAGAATTCAGGCATTGAAAAGGCTTTTCTCTTCGACGTAGTCAGCAAAATCTACATTGCAACAGACAGTTCTCCTGTGGACATGCAGTCGTATGAGTTGTGCTGTGACATGATTGATGTAGTGATAGATGTTTCCTGTATATATGGGTAAGTGATGAATACTCTTAGGAAAAATGTTCTTGTGAGTTGTAGGATAGTTGCAAATTGTGCAAGCGGTGCTGGGTTTGTCATCCAGCAAGATGCTATTGATTGGTCTGTAGAGCACGTTGGTTCTGTAACTAACTAAAAGCCAAATGATCTGGCAGCTGGATCAAGCATTTGTACTCAGTTGGTTTCCCTCCACTCATGGCCTTAGACAGCCATCTGACCTTGTAAAGGTCAACTGTTTCGTGTAGAATATGAATACTGCTGTGTCTCATTTGGCTTGCTCGGTGCAAGAATGTTAATATCTGCAAAAAACTGGGGTCGATAACAGGCCATAGCTCATAAGTGTAACTTGCAGTCACACTGCTTTGAGACTTGCCACTCTCTGAACAGAATGGCTTTTGCAAGATCAACTCAGCTCTTGCAGACTTTCTTTAAAGGATGCGTGTAGTGCTTGTTTCTTACAGCTGAATTATACTTCACAACGGATTTTTGAAGTGGTTCTGGAGAAGCGGTAACTTACTTTAGAACTGTGGTTCTAAAGCCTAGAACCACTACTGTGATTCTGTAGCCTAGGCAAACATAGCGCTGTCAAGAAATACTGCAGTGTGTAATGGTCTGTCTCCTGATGGGTCAACCCAAGGTTGTGTAACTTTGTTTTGTTTTTTCTTCAGGAGAGTGCTTACAAGTGGCTTGTGATACATCTTTTGCTTTTACAGTAATTTAACTAGCACTAACAATTTGCAGATAGAAAGCAGCATCCTTATCTTTTCTTGTAAATCTTATCTTTTTAGCTTAAGACTAAAAAGTGTTCTGCACAGCTTTGCTGCCCTGACCTCACTAAGGAAGCCTCTGTATTAATTTACCAGAAGTAATTTTTCTGAGATGCCACTTGATTGATGTTTCTTTGTAGAACTCCTGCATTTGAATCTTCAAACCAGTCACTCAGTGCCTTACTGTAGCACTGTAAGCTCTGTGAGACAGTGAGTAGCACTGTCTCTTTGGTTTGAAGGTAAACTAGGCTATAACGAATGTACAATACCATCTCCATTAAGAATACTCAGCTGCAAGCTGAAAACAGTATTGACTAAACAGCCACAGCTCTTAGTTTGACATCAAAAGAATGCATGCTGACAGCTTGCTCTTAACTGCTCATCTAAGACAGATAGTATCTAGTGAAGGCCTCTACTCTGTTTAGGTCTGGCTTCCCTGAGAAACTTGGTGTGGTCATGGTCTTACCTATGGTAGCATTAAGACCTGCATTGCAAGGTCTTCACGTGCTCACTGTTCACTATGAGAATAGCCTTCTAACTGCATTTAACAGGTATTTGTCTTGAAGTTGCATATGTGTGTCCACTAGATTATGTCTTGGGTTAACTCGTTCGTTCTTAGGTTAAAGGAAGATGGCACTGGAAGCGCTTACGATAAAGAATCAATGGCAATCATCAAGCTCAATAACACAACAGTCCTGTACTTAAAGGAAGTAACAAAGTTTTTGGCATTAGTTTGCATTCTTAGAGAAGAGAGTTTTGAGCGCAAAGGTAAGGACTTCCCCTCTTTGGCTTTTATCTAACGTTTTTTATCAACTCTCAAATACTAATATGGCTTTACAGGTCACCTTGATTTTTGTGTAACTAAATCTGTTTACTTTTTTCTGGAAGGAATTTTCTCCTTTCCTAGAGATAGGTATAAAGAGGTCTTATTTTTATTCTTGTGAATCATGGCTTTAATCGCTGTCCTCCTCCTGAAAAGACTTGTGTAGCTAATGTGGCTCATGTCAGTACCATCTGCTGTAGTGGAATCAGTGGAATGGAGTAATGTGTAGTATGTCCTGCTTGGCAGCTGCTGTGTTGTGAATAGCCATATTCTCTATTGCGTGTAGCACTGATGTGATTTTTTTCTTTAACATATGACTGAAGAAAGCAGCAGTAGTAAGCTTGTGTGGTATGTGGTAGGAACTTAGAACAAAGTGTTTAATACATTGCAGGTCTAACCAACTATTTGTTGCTTAGACCTGCAGGAGACGATGGTACAAATGGTCTTGCATATGTTATGGGGTAGAAATGACAGCATAGGCCCTAATTTCAAAGTAGTTTACTTAAATGGTGACAGTATTTACCTTGGTATTTTAAAAAGAGAAAACAGCAGATGTCTTCTTCTAATAATTGTGCTGTATTTGATCTTAGTTTTTCTCACCACAGTTAGGAGATATATCAATGACATAATTATGGTTGTGCTGTACTAGTGTGTTTTTTTTGGGGGGGTAGAGGCTTGTGTTGTGCCTTCACCTTTCAATATACACCTTGCATTCCAAATGAGTACCTGGTTAGGGTTTCTTTTTGCTTTTTGGTTGTTTTTTTGTGAAAACTGAGACAGTCTAGATAAATACTGGCATCAGTAAAACTTTGTTAAACCTTCTGAATCCAAATTCATACTGAAATAATGAGCGCAACAGCTGTTGGTTAAATGAAACATTTTCTATTTATTTTGAAGCTCTGATCATGTAAATGTTCCAAGCTGAGCACAGTTTTTCCTCTCCCCCTCCTTCCTGACAGGTCTGATAGACTACAATTTTCATTGCTTCCGCAAAGCCATTCATGAAGTCTTTGAAGTAGGTGTTGCCTCCCACAGAATCTGCAACCATCAATCAAGCGCCTCAAATATGAAAGCAGTGACTCACAATGGCACACCTAGGAATGCAGTCTAGAGGAAAACTGAAGATGTTGGATAGACTTGTCAGCTCTTCACTCCAAAGTGTTGTGGAACAAGAGAAGAGTAGTCTGAAAGCCTGAAGTATGTTTCACAGGAGAAGAGTGGCGCTAACTGCGGAACAGCAGCTTGTAACTCATGTTGAACGACTGAAACTACTGTAAAAATACATAGAGGCCAGTGGAGTTAGAAATGCCAGTTTGAAACCAGCTTTATTACAAGCACAGTGGTTTTTCAGTTTGGAGTTCTATTTTAACAGTCTGTCTCTGACTGATTGCCCGGTCAAAACTCACAAATGATTGAGTTTTGCGTAAAACACTGAATAGTCACTTGCTCAACACTTCTTTTGTTTGGGTTTTTTAAATTATTATTATTTAAATTACCTGTAAAATATACACTTTTTCTTGAGTTTACCCTTTTGTCATGCCAAAAAAAAAAAGACTCGGGCTTTTTGTTTGGCGAGGCTGGTCTCACAAATCCCTCCATCATTCCATATCATAGTTCTTGCTCTGAGGTGTGCTCAGAGTATTCTTGTGAATTCTGTACTAGTTAAGTGGATGCAAGGTAGAGCTCTGTTCTAGTGATTCTATGTTTGTTTGGAGAGCTGACCTGGAGCTTCATTTTAAGAGATTGTGATACTTTGCTTTCAGACGACACTTCTTGGTATGCCCCCTTTGATGTAAGAGGGGTGTTAAAACCAGAAATAACTACCTGCTCTCTTTTGCAGAGACATGGATGTCATAGATCTATGTGACTAATCCTATTCACAAAACAACTGCATGGCTAACTAAACTGAAACGTCTGCCATCTGTTGGAATAAAGCAACCACTTTCAGCTATTCCCAAGCAAAGATAAAGTTACTGACTTTTGATGGTGGATCTCTCTCTACCCTCTGACTGATAAGACAATTCCTAGGAAAATGTCTAAGGTTGTTATCCTTGCATGGCAATTAAATGTCAATGTGCCACAACCTACTAATAGTACTGGACACTGAGAGTGTGTTGATTCTGTACTGTGGCAAACACCTTGTTTGTTACCATGCCGTCTGAACAGAAAAGTATTTTTTCTGATTTTGTGAATGCTGGCTTTCATACTATGGGAGGTATATCTCAGTTGTTTAAATCTAATTTATTGGTATTGGTATTATTACTGCAGATGTCAAACTGTACATCAGCCTTGCTATGCAGTAAGCTCAGCTACTGGCCCGTCAAGATCTAGCTACTTTTTACCTGTCCCTATGTGTGTATAGGTGTTGTGAAGCCACTGGACCAACTGACTATACGAGTGCCACAACAAAAAAAAAAAAGAAAAAAAAAAGGCGTCACCGTAAGTGATCTCTGCAACTGATGTATTTATGTGGTCAGAGCCATGGGATTGCTTCTGTGCTTATACAACGGATTTTCATTGGACTATGTAAAAATGAATATACATACATTAACATTACAGTGTATGCACATACTATGTAAAATGTTTTTTCTTTGGTTTAAAGATGTTGTATGATACTAAATACATAAAAGATCTGCTGCAGAAGTTACCAGAGTCAGCATGAGACTTGGGAATTAAAGTGCTCTACTTCAGTTCTCTTAATAGCAGTTGTAGTTCTAAACCTAGGCTGAGCCCCTTTTTGGTAATGGAACTGCAGGGTATTTTTCCAAGGAAGTGCTGCAGGCTCGTAAGATTGGGTTTCCTAGCTTGATAGCTCTGTCACAGTGTTCTAGTACTCAGGGTGAGAGGAGAAGTAATTGGCAAGATCACAGAAAGGAAGAAATCATTCCCATTTGTGCAGTGAGTTTTCCATGTTCTAAGTACAGGTATACGTGCGTCTCTTTGTCTTTACTGTCTGCGTTATTTTGTGTTAATAAAATAAAAAGTCAAACTAACACTTCTTTCTGTTGAAGGGTGAGACACTTCAGTGTGTCTCAAAAGTCTACAAAGGCCTGTATGGTTAATCAAACTTTTTAAAGCCGTATTACCTTTAGTGTATTTTGTAACAATTAAATGACACCTTCCCATGTGAGGCTTTAAAAATTTTAGTCAGGCTTAGCTTTTCTCTCAATTAAAAGTTGACTCTAAACTCAATACTCAGTTTTCAGAAGATGACTCTGGACTTTGAAGGTATATAAATGATGTAGTGACTTGTTCTCTTATTTTGATTAAAGCTGCGACTTAGGCTGTGCTCCAAAATTCTGCCTTCTGCTGTGAGTGTCACGGTAGGTTTTTTGTCACCTTACTCTTGAATGGTTGCATTTACTAAAGGTTAATGGTGGACATGCAGCTATTCAGGTAAAGTGTTACTTAACCTGATGCTGCTTTAGCGAAGCCATTTTTCGTTTCTGCCAAAATCTTCATGCTGCCAGGGAGAGAGGGGGAAGGATGGGAATTATGCATGATTTTTTCCCTTGTGCAGGGACCTGTTTCCCCTGCCTGTGCTCACTTGCTGCAGGGAGAGATCCTGTTAAAGATAAGGGAAGTCTCTCCTATAAAAAGACTGAAATTGCAAAGGAGACTATCGTGCTTCACCTTTCTGCCTTTCTTTTTTCCTCTGAACCTGTGGTGGTACGCATGCTTCTAAGGAGAAAAAAGGCGCAGACGGGGGAGGGTGTGGGGGGGAAAGGTGACCAGCCCCCAGGGAGAAGGAATAAAACGTGTTGAAGACTAACGCAGTCCCTTGCAAGGCACCTTCCAAAGCTCCCAGGTGCCTGGGCCCAAGACGGTCGCCGGTCACGGGCGAGGTTTCCGGTTGACAATCCTGCCGGCTGTAGCGCGAACAACACAACGCCCGGGACGAGGGAGCAGAGTAACGGAAGGGGTGGTCTCCCTGCTGTCCTGGAGACTGAACCGCCCCTCTCCTTCCC